TTGGTCTGCAGGGTTCCCAAGCAGAATATGAGTTGCTGTTCCTGCAACCTTCGGGTGGCATCGTTGTGGCACTGCAGGAGGCCCTGAATGGACATGTCGTCTGAGGAATGGGAGGGGGAGTTGAAATGGTTCGCGACTGGGAGGTGCAGTTGTTTATTGCGAACCGAGCATAGGTGTTCTGCAAAGCGGTCCCCAAGTCTCCACTAGGTTTCCCTGATGTAGAGGAGACCACAACAGGTACAGCGGATGCACTATACCACATTGGCAGATGTGCAGGTGAACATCTGCTTGATGTGGAACATCATCTTGGGGCCTGGGATAGGGGTGAGGGAGGAGGTATGGGGGCAGGTGTAGCACTTCCTGCGGTTGCAGGGAAAAGTGCCGGGTGTGGTGGGGCTGGAGGGGAGTGTGGAGCGGACAAGGGAGTCACGGAGAGAGTGGTCCCTCCGGAAAGCAGATAAGGGTAGGGAGGAAAAGATGTCTTTGGTGGTGGGGTCGGATTGCAGATGGCGGAAGTGTCGGAGGATGATGCGTTGGGTCCGGAGGTTGGTGGGGTTGTAAGTGAGGACGAGGGGGATTCTTTTTTGGTTCTTATTGCGTGGACGGGGTGTGAGGGATGAGTTGCGGGAAATGTGGGAGACACGGTTGAGGGCGTTCTCGACCACTGAGGGGGGAAAGTTATGGTCCTTGAAAAACGAGGACAACTGAGATGTACGAGAGTGGAATGCCTCATCCTGGGAGCAGATGCGGCGGAGGCGAAGGAATTGGGAATAGGGGATGGCATTTTTGCAGGAAGGTGGGTGGGAGGAGGAGTATTCTATGTAGCTGTGGGAGTCGGTGGGCTTGAAATGAATATCGGTTTCTAGGTGGTTGCCCGAGATGGAGACAGAGAGGTCCAGGAAGGAGAAAGAGGTATTAGAGATGGTCCAGGTAAACTTAAGGTGACTAGTAAGTTGTTGGGTTGTCATAAAAATTCTGAAATTGTTTCCTAATGTTCTCTTATTTAAAACAAAACGTATGACTCCAGTCCTATTCCAACATATCTATGTCTTGCCAGCCTTCTGAAGACATTAATTCAATCAAACACTTTGCAACTAAATGCTGACCTTGGCCGTGATGTCCAAATCCTTGGAATGACTATTTTAAGTGCTCATAAAAATTAATTCCTTTTAATGAAATACCAAATAACATGTTCTGAAATTTTAAATTGTTTTCAGAGACTGTACAAATACTTGTTAGCTGTAATTACTTAATGAGATTTGTGGTTCTATGAATAGATTGTACCTGGTGATCCCTTGGACAAAAGCATCATTATCAGACCCCTGGAACCACAGCCTGCACCTCATCTGGCCAGAGAGTTCATGATCAAAACAAGGAGGAGAAAGGTAATCAGATATCTATTCAAGATGTATTGAACTTTCAGTAGCAGTAGACACTAAACGTGTATCTATTTTGTGCAGTGTTGTTTCCTCAGCAATAAAGGCCAGCTAAACTTTGTTGAAATATATGTGCCATTTTTCAATGTGGCCTTCTATCAAGTTATCTATTTGACTGCTAACCAATACGAGATAACTATAATTATTAATTACAATGAGACTCTTCAACCTTTGGTCCATCTCACCTCTCAAACATTCAATTTGAGTTTTGAACATTTGCTACCTTTTCGCTTTACGTGGTAGACGGCTGGCTTGAAGTTTAAATGGGTGGCATAACCTGAGGTGATGAAAGACCCTTCACAATCCAAGTTCAAATGACTGTCTGCTGTCTGTTAGCCATACAGAGTAGAGCTATGTAAATCACAATCAAAATATGAGACAGCAGATCTCAGAAGTTCCACATTTTCTGTTAGACTCTGGAGAATCTGATTGATTATTGCACATTTTCACAGTGTGGAAAAAATGCTCTGTACATATTGTTTAGTGCAATTCATTACTTTAATCTTCAACCAATAGGAAAACCTTTTAAAAGTAGCCAGTAGTTGAAGTAACTTCAGAAATTTCAGAATGCATAACATGTATTTGATTATTCTGAAGAGAGATGATTTATTTGTAAATGCAAAGACATTCCTAGAGATAGAATCATAATAAATGAAGATGTGGAGCACAACATTTATTCATTAAATGTCTTTGTTGCATATTCATTAAACAGGGATTTTGTTCCCTGTGCTTTTCTTTTCATATACTAGATCCCAAGCCGATGTTTTGCTTTTCTGCCACTGTCCTTGCCTTTGCTCCTCCTCCCTTACAGAATATTGTTTTATGGATCATAGATTCCTTACAGTATTTGGCATCCCCGTAAACTCAATCATTGACTATTGGCAAACTTTTGGCAACGTTAGGATCACAGTTCAACAAGAATTTCTGGTGAGGGTCACTGTATCAGTAGTTTTTGGGAGCTCGGATGTTCCATTGTGGCTCTGGTAGAGATAAGCTAACTAAATGCACAGCAAGAACAGTCAAAGATTTTCTTGGTTTGTGGATTCGTCTAATTTGGTCTTCATCAGCTGAGTAATGTGCTTGCAGCACTCCTGGAAGAAAATTAATTAGTGTAATATAAAGTTTTTATGATTTAAAATATTGAAATCAATCCTGGTGGTGTAGTGAACAGCTGAGAAGGTTACCTCAGAGTGCAATGGGACTTGATCAGATGGGTGGATGGGCTGAGGAGTGGCAGATGGAGTTTAATTGACATAAATGTGAGGTGCTGCATTTTGGAAAGGCAAATCAGGACAGGACTTATTACACTAAATGGGGTAAGGTCCTAAGGAGTGTTGCTGAATGAGACCCTGGAGTGCAGGTTCGTAGTTCCTTGAAAGTGGAGTCGCAGGTAGACAAGATAGTGGAGAAGGCATTTGAAGTGCTTGCCTTTATTGGTCAATGCATTGAGTATAGGAGTTGGGAGGTCATGTTGCATCAGTACAGGACATTGGTGAGGCTTTGGAATACTGCGTTCAATTCTGGTGTCCCTGCTATAGGAAGGATGTTGTGAAACTTGAAAGGGTTCAGCAAATATTTACAAGGATGTTGCCAGGTTTGGAGGGTTTGAGCTATAGGTAGAGGCTGAATAGACTGGGGCTGTTTTCCCTGGAGCGTCGGAGGCTGAGGATGTTATAGATATCTATAAAATCATGAGGGCCATGGATAGGTCGAATAGCCAAGGTTTTTTCCCCAGGGAAGGGAGTCCAAAACTAGAGGACGTAGGTTTAAGGTGAGAGAGGAAATATTTAAAAAGAACCTAAGGGGCAACTTTTTCATGTAGAGGGTGGTGTGTGTATGGAATGAGCTGCCCGAGGAAGTGGTGGATACTGGTACAATTACAACATTTAAAAGGCATCTGCATGGATATATGAATAGGAAGGGGTTAGAGGGATATGGGTCAAATGGGACTAGATTAATTTAGGATATCTGGTTTGCATGGATGAGTTGGACCGAAGGATCTGTTTCCAAGTTGTACAGTTCTATGACTGTATGACTCTTCATCAAGGTTTAATTCTAATGGGAGAAAATTAATTGTACATACAATTCTCTTCAAACATTAAAAACTGTTGCTGATTATTGAAAATTCTGCGAACTTTAAAAGTGTAAATAAATGGACTAGCCATATCTCCCAAAATTGTTTAGTGGTATATGTTGTTTTAGGTAATTGGAGGGAGCCGTGGAATGAGAATATGGTTAATGTTAACTAAACTAATTTCCTTTCTACCAGACAAACTATCTTTTTCAGCACTGACTTCTAAATCTGTAGCAGCCTGGGATTAGGTCTTGATCTTCCAGTAGAAAATTCTGAGGTGGCTTGACAGTGTAGATGTTGAGAAGATATTTCCACTAGTGGGGGAGTCTCAAACTAAGGGATGTAGTTACAGAATAAGGCAAAACTCATTCGAGACTGAGATGTGAAAGAATTTCTATAGGACGTGCAATATGTCTCAGACCTATCCTCCACATTCAAGGAGAAAGAGAAATCAACATGGTTTTGTCATCCCTCTTCACAACTCTTTGAAGATTTTGCCTGCCCAGCTGTTATCAACTTAAAATAAATGCCCACCATACAGAGCCAGTGACACTGGTATATTTTGATTTTTCAAGCCTTTGATAGCTTTCTTATGATATAGCTACTATAACGGCAAGTGATTTCTAGGACTGGACTTTGTGTCAAAAACTGAAGAAACATATTAACTTCTATTCTCTAAATTACCCGTGTAGCTCTGGGAGTTAAGCCATTGTAATCTGAATCAGATCTTTTATAACATGATCAAAACAAATAAAGTTCCTGACACTGTTATACCCAATAGCGCACAGTACTATGAGAAATTACAGTTGTTTTCAGTTCATTTTTAAAAAAAAGTGGCATCTAATTTTAACGTTAAAACTGTTTGCTCTATCATAAAGTGATTCCGAACTTACGACATACTAATAAGTGAAATTATTCAGTACATTTGTTTTTGTAGGTTACCTTGTTTTGCCTCTTAATACTTAAGAAATATTAGTATAACAGGTAGGAATAAATCTTAACAAGTGTTTCTGCTTCCTTTGTTAACAGGGCCTCAGCGAAGATGTCAGTATCAGCAAGTTTTTCGATGATCCTATGTTGCTGGAACTTGCAAAGCAGGATGTGGTTCTCAATTACCCCTTATAACTAAAACAGCAGATTCTGAAAGGAAGGCCCAACTACTTGCACCTCTTAACAGGACTCTGTTTGTGGTATGTTCAGTCATACTTACAGCATCGACTGGAATCGTACAGTATGGAATGAATAAGCCTGAATGTGAGCTGATCTGAACTTTATATTTTAGCATTGCAGGTGAAATGTTTTTAATAGAATACATCTCAAAATAAAAAAAAACTCTGTTTTCCAATTATAATGATTGGATTTTTCTTACTAAAAATATAGGATTGTGAAGTCCACCTGGATAGCACACCATAGGTTTGATTTGTGGACAAGTTATTAGTGTTAAATGGTGTTCACGTATGCTGTGCATAAAAATCAGACTCCAAGCAAAATTACTGAATCCTTTGTGTTTATTAATGAACAGGAAATTCTCAGTGCAAAGAAAAGCCAGTGTGCAAAATATGAAACTGCCAACCTTTGGAAAAATGCATTTCATGTCAAACCATTTGTGAGGGTGTAATTAGTTCAGCGAGGACACCTCAATACCAAGTGGAACATTAACAATAATCCATAAATACATTCAGCATAACGCAGTGAGGGCATTTACTTAGAGAGATCTGCTTCTCTTGGCTTCACCACATATTCTTTGTACATGGAATACAGGACACCTGCAAAGACAATTGAGAACAAGACATGAACTCGGTTGTTGAAGTTGATGCTGAACTTGCCTATAAATAAAATCTGTCCAATTAGTTAAGTTTAGAAGATGGACAAATGTGCTAAGGACATAACAATTATGTGCTTTAATTGTGGAATACCACAATAATGCCACAACTGATGAAGGCAAGTGTCCCGTATGTTCTGTTGGCACTGTTTAAGTGAATCAATTAATGAGTCATATTGAACTCAAAACATTAACTCTGTTTCTCTCTGTATTTGTATCTATATCACAGATACTGCTAGACCTGCGGAGTTTCTCCAGCGTTTTTTTGGTATTTCAGAAAAGCAATTGTAATGGTTTCAGTGAAAGAAATTCTTACTGGCTCCAATTATTAACACCTAGTTCCGAATGTATAATCCGAAACAAAGTTCAATAATGAGCTGAACAAACTCGTCCTTTCTTCGAAGCCAATGTCTTCCCCATTAATTTATCTAGGTTGCAAGGGTAGGGTTTGTAACAGATGCACAAAAATATGAAATTGTGCAGTTGGATTTATTTCTAGATTGCCAGAGCTGTTGTGCCAAGCCAAGGTTCTGCTAATTCATCCCTTAAGTATTTTGTTCATTGTGTAATCTGTAAAATATAATCAAAACACTACTTTCAACTAATTACTTTTGCTGATGTAGACAGAAATTTGCTGATGTACGTAGAAATGAGTTTGGGCTCACCTAGCCTTTGATGGAAGAAAGAGGTCCACAAGCAAAGCCGGCAGACTTCAAGTTAGTACTGTATGATCAGTATAACACTGGAATCATTTAACTCTGACTGTAGAATCATACAGTGCAGAAAGGGCCCTTCAGTGCGGCCAAAACAATGCTCCTTTTTCGCACCAGACACATATCCTTGAATTTTAAGGCACTTCAAGTGGTCAACCAAATTTTTTTTTAAAGTTGTGAGTTTACATGCTTCAACTACCCTCCCAGGCACTGCATTCTAGACCCTCGCTTATGGGTGATAAAAAGGTTTCCCTCAAGTCCCCGCCAAGCCTTCAAACTTCCACTTTAAAATTATGCCCCCTTGTTGTTTATCTTTCAACTAAGGGGAACAACTGCTTTATTCAGGGACAAAAACAGAAGTTGCTGGAAAGGCTCAGCAGGTCTGGCAGCATTTGTGAAGAAAAACATCCGTTAATGTTTCAGTCTGGTGACCCTTCTAGAACTGACCTATAGTCACAACTTTCCTATAGTCTTATGAGCACAACTGCATGCTACTCCCAGCTGTGGCCTAACCAAAGCTCTGTACAGCTCCACCATGACCTCAATAACACAGTGTGGAGCTGGAGAAACACAGCAGGCCAGGCAGCATCAGCGGAGCAGGAAAGCTGATGTTTCGGGTCGGGACCCTTCTTCTGAAATGGGGGAGGGGAAGGGGGCTCTGAAATAAATGGGGGGGGCGCGGTGATAGCAGGTACATAGTAGAGCGGATAGGTGGGAGAGAAGACCAACAGGTCAAGGAGAAGGTGGGGTGCTGGTCTTGAGATGAGGTCGGGGGTGAGGAGATCTTGAAGCTCGTAAAGTCCACATTGAGACCATTGGGTTGTAGGCTTCCAAGGCGGAATATGAGGTGCTGTTCCTCCAGTTTCCAGATGGCATCGTTGTGACACTGGAGGAGGCCCAGGATGGACATGTCGTCCAGCGAGTGGGTGTGGGAGGGGGAGTTGAAGTGGTTCGCAACTGGGAGGTGTTGTCGTTTGTCATGAACCGAGCGTAGGTGCTCTACAAAGCCGTCTCCAAGCCTCCGCTTGGTCTCACCGATGTATCTCACTATCTCCAACGTGACCTCCCTGCTCTTGGAATCTAGGCCACAACTGATAATGGCAAGTGTCCCATTGCCCTTCTTAACCCTATTTAACCTGTCCTGCCACCTTCAGGTATCTATGAACAAGCACCTCAAGATCCTTCTGAGCTTCCTAGTGAATGAGTTCAAGCGCTGATTGCTTTTCTGGAATCAGCCATGTTCATCTTGGAGCAATTTTTGAACGACTGAGAAGCTTTTTTTTTAAATACTTGTTCCTTCCTGCTAACACATTCAGTTTCACTGAAAACCAAAACACTTACCAAAGGTCACAGCTCCCACTACACATGCCTGTGCAGCCACACGGGTGTGTATAAGGTGCACGGACATTTTGGTATTCCCTCTGGTTCGCAATTTATAAAGACCCAATCCGACTATTGCTGCAAATCCAGTCATGCCTGTAGTGAATGTTAAATTTAGTCAAAATTGTTTCAGTTCTTCATGTGAGTTATTTCTATTGCTGCAAGTCCATTGCTAACCCAGAATTCTGCCAATTCATCTGCCTGAAATATTTCGACTGAAAGATTAGCAGATGCTATTCTGAATAAATTCAAACCCAATTGTATGTTTACATTTTTCTTTAATGTATTGGTTGGACTGTAATAGGCTGACACAGCATTGACATGCTGTGTAAAGCTAGTATGGAGAAAGATCTGATCCCAATGGTACGATCCATGTGGCATCAGAGAGTGCAGTATTTTATTTCTTAGATGAAAGCAGATAAGAAACTAAATTAGATCCTACTGAAAAGCAGATTTTTAAATTAAACATTGCCTTTCATGTATTGCCCAAACTTTTCCACAAAGTCAGATACACTGCACAATTGAAAATCATAATTGAGGTTCAATAGGAAATGATAATTTTACAATATTTCATGTTGATGAAGAAATTGATTTCAATTTTATTGGGTTTTATGTTCACCATATTCCCCTTCTAATTGGCACTGAATGGTCACATTTTCATAATCATTTATAATTGAAACAAATTTCAGATGTTTACATTTACTAACTACTTTTTGATTAAAATCTTCCTTTTCCTTAATGTCTAACTGAAGTTGGTAAATATTTTCTGATTTACTAAAATAGAAACCAAAGTAATGAGCCATTTGTACACATAGAGCTAACCTTAGTATTGCCTGCAGAAACTCACCTATTGGAACAAAAGGTGACTCTTTGGACTTGTCAATCAATTTTGAGGCTGGGCTCTGAGTCTTGGAACTCCATGGAGTGCTGTCTGTAGACATGATCACTAGAGCAGCAGTAAATAACAATACAGTGAATTAAGATGGATTAAATGGGATTATTCAGAATTTCAAAAACACAACATCAAGGCTGGATTAACAAGGTGCAGATTCTCCAGCATCGGCAGTTCCTACTATCAAGTCTGGATTTATTTACACCACCTAAAATATTGGAATTTTTAGTTCAAGAATGAAACTCTTGCACTTTGTGTTTACAAATCTCAATGCCATTCTCCAAGGAGGACATTTTCAAATTTTAGTTTATGTAAGCACAATCATTAGATACATTGCTAACGGTTTTTCGATCACCCTTTCAAAATCATTTGACTAAACCCCGCCTTAGCTTTTCATATGAATGATATAGCAGTAGTTCTTGTAATTGAAACAGCACAGTAATTCAGAGGGGCCAGGTTTGCAGTTTATTCGTAGTTAGCCTTAAATGTATAATGTTACAACAACTCCATCTATTTAAGTAAATTCCCTCTCATTCAAAGAGGGCAATCTGAGCTCAAGTTGCACTCCTAATACTGATAATAAAGAAAAAACAGGAACAGCAGTAGGCCATTTAGACCTTCAGACCTGCTCTGTCATTCAGTATGATCATGACCAATTATCCAACTCAATACTTTGTTCCTACTTTTGCCAGACACCCTTTGATCCTGTTTTCTCTCTGTCACCTTTATTCAAGTAGCTACCCCCTCAATCTGTAGGAACTGATGCAGAGACTATAGGATCTTAAAATGACTACTGATGCAGCCACGATTTCTAGGGCCACTTCCTTTCATACTCAGAATGTAGATTATCGGGCCCTGAGGATTTGTCAGCCTTGAATTCCATCAGTTTCCCCAACAGCATTTCCCTAATAATACTGATTTCCAGCAACTCTGAAGGAATGACAGTATATTTCCAAGTCTGCCTCACTTGACCCTGCGTTCCTCAACATTTATAGGTCTTTGTGAAGGCTGAACTAAAATATATATTTAATTGGTCTGCCACCTTCACTTCCCATTTTAACTTCCCAATGTTTCTGATTTTAACGAACCTACATTTGTCTTCACTAATTGTTTTCTCTTTACTGTTCACCCCTTTTGCCTCTGCTTTAAAAATATTCAAGAACTCTGCTTCTACTACCTCTTCCAGGAAGGGTTCCAAAGACTCATGACCTTAAAAGAGAGAAAAAAAATGTCCTAACTGTTTTAAATGGGCATCCCCTGATTTTTAAACAGCGATCCCTAGATCTGGATCCTATCATAACAAGAAACATCCTCTGCACATCTACCTGTCAAGACTCCCTCAGGATCTTGTATCTTTTAATCAAGTCACTTTCTAGACTAAGCTACAGCAGATATAATCCTTTTGTCACAAGGCAACCACCCCAAACACTTTTAGGCATTAGTCTAATAATCCTTCGCTGAACTGTCTCCAACATATTTACATTCTTCCTTAATAAGGTGACTAATGTTGTGCACGGTATTTCAGATTTGGACTCAAAAGTGCCCTGTACAACTGGAGCATAACTTCCCTACTTTTGTATTCAATGTCCCTCACAATAGATTATAACATTATATTAGCTTTCCTAAATTGCTATTTAATTATATAATACTTTAGGATGATAAGAGGCCAGTAACATCTTTGCTAAACATGCCCCAGGCAATGACTGTCTTCAGCAAAGGAAGGTAACCATTTCCCTTTGTGTACTATACTTTCCAAATCCCGTACTATTAACGTTCTGGGTGTCACCACTAACCACAATCTTAACTGGCTGTACTGTATGAATACTGTGGGAGGCTCTTGCTGTGCAGTGGCAGGCTCGGGACCTCTGTTCAAGTCCCATCTAAACCAGAGGTGTGTTATAACACATCTGTGCAGGTTGATTAAAAATATTTATAAATACTGTGGTTACAGGAGTAGGAAAGAGGCTAATTGTTCTGTGGTGAACAACTCACTGCCTGATTGCGCAGAGTTTGGCCAGCATCTGGGCACAAAGTTGATTGTGACATAATACTTTTCACTTGCCTAGATGAATGCAGCTTCAACATTCAAGAAATCTGAAGACAAATCAGCCAACTTTGAACATAGCAAAACTGGAAACAGGAGGCACCTCCACTGGTTGGAGTCATCCTGACACATAGGAAGATGGTTGTGGTTGTTGGAGGTTAGCCATCTCAATTCCAGGACATTTCTGCACGCCTTCCTCAGGGTAGTGCCTAAGGCCCAACTATCTTCAGCTGCTTCATCAATGACCTTCCCTCCGTCATTAGGTCAGAGGTGGGGACATTGCTAATAATTGCACAACGTTCAGCACCATTCATGACTGCTCAGTTGACGAAACAGTCCATACTCAAATGTATCTTATGGCATCAAATGGCAAATAACATTCATGCCATACTCATGCCATACAAATGCCAAGCAATGACCATCTCCAATGACAGATAATATAACCACTGCCCTTGTCATTCAACGGTGTTCACTGACTACCCTGTTATTGACATCCTAGGGGTTAGCATTGACCAGAAACTCAACTGGACTCACCATATAATACAGTGGCAACAAAAGCAGGTCAGAGGTTAGGAATACTGCAGCGGATAACTCATCTCCTAACTCCCCCAAGCCTGTTCACCATCTACAAGGCACAAATCAGAAATGTGATGGAATACTTCCCACTTGCCTGGATGGGTAGAGCTTCAATAACACTCAAGAAGCTTGACATCATCCAGGTCAAAGCAACCCGTTTGATTGGCACCACATCCACAAGCATCCACCTCCTCCACCACCGCCACTCAGTAGCAGCAGGGTGTGCTATCTACAAGATACATCACAGAAATTCACCAAAGATCCTTAGACGGCATCTAGCAAACATGACCACTTCCACCTAGAAGGGCAAGGGCAGCACATACATGGGAACACCACCACCTGCAAGTGATAAATATATTGCAATTCCTTCACAGTTGCTGGGTCAAAATCCTGGAACTCCCTTCCCAAGGACACTATAGGAATACCTACAGCACAAGGACTGCAGTGGTTTAAAAAGGCAGCTCACTACCACTTTCTCAAGGGCAACTAGAGATGGGCATTAAATGCTGCCCACCTCCCAGGAGTGAATAAAATAAAACAAACATTCTGTCTAGCAACTTAAGTATTCATTCCCTCCATCACTAACATACAATGACTGCAGTGTGTACTGTCAACTGGATACACCAGCAACTCAGAATGACGTAACTAGAAACCTCTATCGCCTTGAAAACAGCAAGTGCAAGTCATACAGCATGCAGAATTGGAAATACTTTGTCCTTCTCTCATTATAACTTGGTCAAAATTCTGGAACTTGCTAACTCAGTGCTGATGGAGCAGCTTCACCTACACGGCAGCAGTTGAAAGAAAGTGGCTCAACGTCACCATCCAAAGGTCAATGAGGGACAAGACAATGTCTTCAAAGTACAGGAATAAGAAAAACTAAATCTACATGGAAGTAATGCTAAGATTGAAAAATGTCACTGCAACATTGATTTAGTTAGTTATTCATTCAGGATTAAAGTAGAAAGATAGCAAGAACTGTAGATGCTGGAGTCAGCGCCCATACAGTGTGGAACTGGAGGAACACATCAGGTCAGGCAGCATCAGAAGAGCAGGAAAGTCGACGTTTCGGGCCGGGACTCTTCATCAGTATTAAAGTACTTCAGTAGGTTGGAGAGCACAATTTTCAGAAGTAAATCACCATGAGACAGCATTTTGCAGAATTGTTTTATACGTGCTCCTTGCCAAATATAGGTATGGCTCAGAAACACGTAGCACGACTGATCATGGCTGATCGTCCTTTCGCACCTAGGGAGGTCCCGAGGTTTGAACAGACGGTGTAATTCCGTTTTGACAACGGTAGGCGCTAGCACCAAGCAGACTCACCTTCGGCTGTTAACACTAACCACTCAATCCGGCCCAAGCGCCAGGTTTGGCGTCTTTACAATGCATCAGATTTCAACAGACGCTGTTAAGTAACATTAGCAACCTGCCCCGAATCGAACAACTATGTTTCAAACACGAAATATCAATTTAATCTCTGAAGACATTACCTTAGTCGGAAATCAGCCCTGAGCAGAAAGCGGTGTAACTGCTGCACTTGTTACAGTCACGATACTTAATACATTTCCTGGTTGGACGGATTTTCAAGAAGCCGGCGGTGGAAAGTCGATGTCTTAATGAGCTACCGTAAATGTTTGATTGCGTCAGACCTCAGCAAATAACCTTCTAAAGGAAGGGCTGAATTAAGGAACTTGGCGGCGTTATTATGACCGGCTTCTGTCGTTGACTTTATTGCGTTTGCTCCTTGCTGCAATGTTGATCTTGCGTGCTTTGCATTTTATAAACAATTATTTCATCGCCTATTATACATAAAAGGCAACTCTGCTGATTACACAAATGAACTTGGCCTTTGTGTAGAAATCATGTTCTACTATTTTGTACGGAGGACGCTCATCAGAATTGCAGCACAAATTGCGTGCGAATGATTTTGTGCGGCAAGATATGACGTGCCTTTTACTGAAAACGGAAATTGCTGGAAATAGCAGATCAGACAGAGGCATCTGTGGGGGAAGAACAGAATTCATCTTTCAGGTGTTGGTGATGCTAGGTAGTGTCTTCCAAACCTCATAGGAGCAAATTACTGCAGATGCTGGCATCTGTACTGAAAACAAAAAATGCTGGAAATCACAGTAGGTCAGCCAGCTTCCATGGGGAGAGAGCAAGCTAACGTTTCATGTCTAGGTGACTCTTCATCAGAGCTCATCAGATCTTCCAATCCTTGACCACAACCATCCAGAAGGACATGATCAGCAGCATCTCCTGCACATTCTCCCAACTGCTCTTCATCTTGACTTGGTTGGATATTCCTTTGTTCCCGGAACTGCCGCCCTAACTGCATTGTGGATGCACCTACATGCATCCATTGAAAGAAACAGTTCACCACCACCTTCTCCGCTGCAATTAGGGATGAACAGTAAACAATAGCTACTGGTGATTATTATGGTAGGGTCTCAACCTCTCAGCTAGGAGACCTGGGTTCAGGTCCCACCTGCTGCAGAGGTGTGTGTATCAACATCTCGGAACAGGTTGATTAGAAAATACCTAAACACTAGCTAGGCCAGCGGCAGTCACAAACCATGAACAAACGTATTAAAAAGGCCCTTTGAAGGATCATCACAACCTGAGCCGGATCTCATCATAGAAGGTAACTGACCTGCTGAGTATTTCCACTGCCTTGTTTTTATTTCAGATTTCCAGCAGCAGTATTTTGTTCTTGATAATGGGTAGGTGACGGGCTAGTGGTATCACTGGACTGTTAATCCAGAGACTCGGGTAACGTTCTGGGGGACCTGGGTTTGAACCCTGCCATGGTAGATAGTGAAATTTGAAATCAGTAAAAATCTGGAATTAAGGGTCTAATGATGATTATGAAACCATTGTTGATTGTTGGAAAAACCCATCTGGTTCGCTAATGTTCTTTAGGGAAGTAAACTGCCATCCTTACCTGGTGTGGCTTACATGTGACTCCAGATCCACAGCAATGTGGCTGATTCTTAACTGCCCTATGGGCAATAAATACTGACCTGGCCAACAATGCCCTCGTCCCATGAATGAATTTTTAAAGTTAAGTAGAGCATCAGCAGTTGGGAATAGAGTAGACTACCATTGTTGATGGCCTCATTCTCCCTCTGTTGGACATGATATCTTCAGACCACCCTCCCTCAGTATGTAAGGATTTACTGAGCCCCATGCAAATCATGAGAACTATAATAACCAAATTATGAGGGGTGTCCTGGCTGCTCAATTTTTAAACCCCTCAGTTGGCCACAACAAAGACTTTTTAGCATGCAGCTACATAACAGTCAATTTTCCTGTAGTGCTGTACAAACGACGGAGCCAATCACAGGGTTAGTGAAAGAAAAGAATTCCATTATTTGCTAACCCTGAGAAAAATAATAAAACACGACATCAAGTGCGCACACAAATACAGGTGTATAATCTAAATCAAGAGAGTGTCTTGTACAAGAGGAAAGATCAAGAATAAAACATTTTCAAAAATACCTGGATTCCACAAAGGATTAGGTTTAATCTGGGATCACAGCTGTTTCATTGATGACTTGTATTCTCAGCGTTGGTGAAAATTTTAGGCATCTTTGTGTTCTTGATAGGTTGATGTTTTTTGGAACTTGCTTTTTACCACCTGTTGTCTTCTGAGAGGCTAAGAGATAAATAGGGCAAGAAAGAGCAAGTCTTGTGGTTCTGCTGTTATGAATCCATCATTCATCCATCATTAATTTTTAAAAACACAGTTTTAAGGTAAGGAGCAAGAAGTTTGGAAGGGTTTTAAGGAAACATTTTTTCACCCAGAGGGTTGCAGATACCTGCCAAATTTACTGCCAAAAAGAAAGTTGAGGTGGGAATCCTCAGGACATTTTAGAACTATTTGGGTGAGCACTTAAAATGTCAAGGCTGCAAGCAATTTGTTGGAAAATGAGATTAGAAAAATGGATATTTGATGACTAGCATGGGCACAATGCCCAAAGGGCCTCTTTCCATGCCGTTAAAACTTTATGATTCTTTATCTGTATCTGCAAAAAAACTGTTGTCTGAAATACAGTTCCTTTGTGTATTCTCATATCTGACCTTTTGTTTACAAGCTGGATAACCCACAGGTGACTTTCATACCTCACAGGTGAAGTTTTCTAGGACTGCCTCTTTCAAGATTAAAGGTAGTGACCTGGATCTGCAAGTGTTTTGATCATCCGTAAAGCACTTCCAGATCTTTGTATAGTCAAATTGGCATGTATAATGTGCATGTATATGGCAACACTCTGCAGTTCACTACATCAACACATTGGAGGGATTGTTCTCACTTCTCTAAAGATCATATCATTTATCTTTATTTTTAACTTCTGGATTGTGGACCAAGATCGGAAAAGGACACTGCTTTAAACTGAGAAAATATGGAAGAGGAAAACAAGTCAATGGATTTCATTATGAGTTCTATTTATAGGTTGCCTTGTTCAAGCAGTAATGGAAGGATCAGCACCAAAGAAAAAGCTGTTCTGATGCAATTGAGTTAGTACTTGAAGCATATAGGCAAAGGATTTGAAATTTAAAGGTCAAGACAAACCTTCATTGAATTTTAAAGCATTAAGCAAAGAGATTTTGAGAAGTGGATATGAGCATTGGAGCTGAAACCATCTATGATGTCCTTACAGAGATAGTTCTGTTGGAAAAATGTAAAAAAGTCACAACTTTCTGCAATAAGAACAGATGCTGAAATCCAAAGGTTTGCAGCTCCTCAACAGGTAGTTGTAATGGCAGACGATTATTAGCTGATGCATAAAACTAAACCTTTTTTTCACCCCAGTAACATTGACAGGGATAGAAACTGGGACAGTGAAAATAAGGCATGTGGCCAAGGTAAAGAGCGAATGGCTGGAATGCCCTAAGATCTCCTTCTCAGATCAAAACAAGATGATACTGAGGGTAGAAGTGAAGGCCTAAGTATCTCCATTGTAATAAAGTGGGGCATCTGTATTTCAGAATGCTGGGAGGTTTGAGTGTTACAGACTTAAATTTGTAAGAATGCAACTGAAAGGGGAAGTCAAAAAGAAAATGCCATGGATCAAATTATAGTATTAATTACATTAGGAGACTGGAGGTATACACCACTATGAATGCAGGAGAAATGAATAAGATAGATGAGAGATGTTAAAGCTTTTCGACTAAAGGGAAAATAAATCGCTAGATGATGCAGCCATACCCATAACAATATTAAGAGACATGGTTGGGGAGGTTGTGGGTTTCTACTCAAAATGTTTTGCTCCACGGAGTTCAATGAAAACCATAATATTATGAAATAGAATAAGTGGACAGTATATTGCAATTCCATTGTAGAGTTCAAATGGAATGTGACTTGTTGTCTGGCAAGTGGTAGCTGGAGTCGTTATGATGTCTGGATGGAGTTGATTTACTTGTGAGGAACGATTCGGCTGGGGTGAAAGTTGTAGCTTTACTTATAAGCGCAGAAAGCCCGAATGAGGCTGAAGAGATGGAACAGTCACAGCAACAGGTTCCAGATATCTTCCCATCGTGTGCAGTGACCGGAGAAATGGCTAAACAGTGTCCATCATCAGATCTTGTTCAAATGAGGCGCTCACTATTTAGGCTTCTAACACAGTGGGGAAAAAATGTGCAATGGTCTTCTATATTAGTCTTGTACTGTGTAATACCCTCATATTTAAGATTGCTCTGCTCACCGCCCCTCCCCCCTGGTCTTGATTCCCTCAGCAAATGAATGTTCTTTTCTCTCTTTACCCTATCAAGTCATGACATTTTAAACACCTTGATCAGATAATGCCACAGTCTTGTGTACACAACAGAGAGCAAGCCACCTAGTGCAAATATCTTCTGTATTGCTAGGTTCTTGGCAAAATTGTGAAATTCAAAAGCAGGAACCTTTGTGTTTTTCCCTTAACTAATCAAGTGATTTTGAAGCTTGTTGTAATTCCCCCTCTAAAATGATCTAAATCTCTTGCTGGTCAAGGAGTGAATTGGCACTATACATTCAGCAACTCACCTGACTGAATTCATCTAGCAATCACGAAAAACAGATCGGTTTATAAAATCATAGAATTATAGAATGGTTACAAAATAGGAGGAGGCTATTCAGCACCATCCATGCTGGTTGTCTGCAAATGCAACTCATTTGATTTCACTCTCCACCATTTCGACAACACTACAAATATTTTCCCTTCAGATAATGATCCAACTCACTTTTGAAGACCTCTAGTGACTCTGCCTCCACTATACTGTCTGGCAGTGCATTCCAGATCCAAACCAGCGACAACAAATCTTTTCTTGTACTCTTTGCCCGTCGCATTAAATCAGTGTCTTTTGATTTTTGATTCTTCCACCAGTGGGAACAATGTTCTTTTCTGCTCTGACCCCTCATGGTTTTGAATACCTCCATCAAATTTTCTGTTTTCTTTCCCAGCCCCAGGCTGTCTGATCCAGCCATGTAACTGAAGTTTGTCCTCACCTCTGGAACAATTCTCCTACACCTTTACTGAATGCTCTCAAAGCCTTTACACCTTTCTTTAATGTGTGGTGGCCATAACCAGACACAATACTTCAGCTGAGGCAAAACAAGTATTTTAGAAACATTTATCATGACCTCCTTGTTATTGTACTCAATGACCTATTCATAATGTTCAGAATCTTGTATGTTCTAAATCTTTCCTGGGATATTTGCTGATTTGTTAACATATACTTATAGATGTTCCTACTTTTGCACTCATTCAAAAATTGTATTAAGGAGTAATATGTGAAAATGAGAGGAAGTCCACTTGGGCAGTAGGAATAGAAAAGCAGAGTATTATTTCAATGAAGCAAGAGTGCAGATTGCTGTGCTACAAAGGGACCTATGTGTCCTAATGCATGAATCAGAAAATGTCAGCATGCAGGTACTGCAAGTTATTGGGAAGGCAAACAGAATGTTGGCTTCATTGCAAGGGGAATGGAGTAAAAACGTAAGTAAGCCTTCCTTAAACTGTTCATACAAAGACATTACTGAAATTGCTTCCAGCTTTGGTCACCTTAATTAAGGAACGACGTGCTAGCATTGGAAGTTCAGAGAAGGTTAATTTGGCTGGGATAAAGGGATTGTCTAAGGAAGACAGGCTGAGCAGGTTAGGTCTATAATCATTGAGTTACACAAATTTTTGACTGGAATGGAAGTCTGGGGCATGAGGGACAGGTGGGAAAGTGGAGTTAATACCACATCAGATCAGTAATGATCTTATTGTCAGGTGAACAAGGAGCAAGGGACCAATGGCCTACTCTTGCTCGTATTTCTTATGCAGGCTTGTTCTATCTTGCCTCTTTGAGTTGAGTTCAGTTTACATTTCTCTGCATTAAATCTTATCTACAACTTGCCCATTCATCACATCAGCCTGTCTATGTCCTCTTGAATTTTGTCATTATCCTCCAGACAGTTCACTCGCATCTTTTGTGACACCCACAGATTTTGAAATTGCGTGCCAAACGCCCAAGTAAAGGACATTAATAAAAAAGCAGGGATTCTAACATCAATCTCTGAGGAGACCATACAAAAAAAACCTCCAGTCTGAAAAGCAAATGTTCATCACTACTGTTTCCTGTCACTCAACCAATTTTGCATCTAAGCCGTTACTGTCCATTTCTGCCTCAAGCTGACAAGTTCATATTGACAATCCTTCAACAATCAGTATCTCACAATGCTACAATTACACTAATTACATTCAGATCCCATAGTCAGTAGGCTACTTTATTGTTGGATTGTTTTGAAGCTAAATAAGATTATTTATTTATCCTCCAGTATTGGATTGTAATAAACAGTAAAATAAGTGTAAAGTAAGAATGATAGGGTCTCTATCTATAATATTAATAGGAAGAATTTTATGATCTAAAATAGGGAAAAAGTCACAGAGAAAGTAGTCAGTCCAAGGCTGCCTCCACCCAGTTTTTCTGAAGCACAGAACAGTAACAGTAAACATATTGAAACATCCCTTTTTCACATTTCAGTAATTCAGTATTTCTTCATCGATAATATTTGTTCCTTATTTTCTGTTTCTACATATTAGTCAGTCAACCCCACTGGATTCCTTACAAACCCAAAACTTTTTCCATTAGTGTCTCCTGTCTTTAGGTGAAGTGAACTTGTGGTCAGATTTATTTTTATTCCAATATATTATCAATATGATTGTGTCTTATTTCTTTCAAATTTAAGGTGAATGAAAGCACCACATGTTCTTCAGTGCTTCTTCCTAATGTACGATGTTCATGTATATCTCCTGTTACAACCATTCCCCGAGTGAAGTTTCCCCAATGTATTACAGTTTCAGCTGGGATACCCCAAATTGTCAAGCTCCCAGTTAATGACATATGAACTGATTCCCCTTAGTTATTCACCCACCCCCTGGGTTGGTCACAACAAGGTGAATTTACGAATAAGCCCCTCCCTTATGGATTCTCTTCTCCCAGACTAAATGAATTTATTTTTGAAAGG